AATGTCTATATTGTCGACAAGAAAATGACATGTATGTGTGTTTGAGATCAATGAAAGGGTTTGGGTGTTTGTTTTGCTGTTCAGAATGTTGGGTCTGGCCGTACACAGATAAACCAGGTATTACAAAGATACGTCACCCTGATCTAGTGTCAATCCTTCTAGGTGAAACATGACTAAATGAGCTAATTCTACTTTATTGTAAGGCTACATTAATAGACTCTTGCAAATCTGAAGATACAAATCTCTTTCCGCCACTTTCAACTACTTGATCCGTGGGTGGGAGGGGATTTTCTTCCTGAATTTCTCCTTCTGAACATTGAGGCACTGGGGCTCCCTCCTCTCTTCTCTGATTGTTTCCTAGGCAGCGTCTCTTCCCCTTGTCCCTCAAGGTGATTCTCACATACTATTGCATCTGGTTAGGAGTAGTTTCACAGTTTACAAACCTAGAGTAGCAAAGACAATTTTCTGTAGGGTGACTGATAGGAAGGGCTAGTATTGTTTGTGCTTTTGATAACACAATGATTGAATGTTCTGAAATGCTTCTTATTCATGGATCTCTTCAAGATGACCACCCTTTCTGTGCCTCTCAATCCTGTTTAGGACAAAATTTGCAGATCTATCCAAATATTGAGATAATGTGGACATAGTCATGGCTCTATGTATCTGAGTCAAGGAGTCACATAAAACTGCTGATCACTAGTTTGCCCTTGGTAGCACAGATGAGCACAGAGAGTTGCCAGCCATCTTTTCAAGCTGGATAATAGCTGAGTGCATGGCCTTTGTTTCAGTGGGTCATGGCTAAAAATATCCCTCCTCCCTACCGCAAGGAAAAAAAATGATGCGAAGAAAGCTGTATATGTATTTCTGTGCGTGTGTTTGTAAACATTCGTTCCTTGGTTTGCAAAAAAGTTGGAAGAGAAACTATACAAGAAGGGATAGATTTTGGAAGCTTTCCTAATAGAGTCTTTACTAATAGAGTCTATAGGAAGCGCCTGTATTTTTTCTGCAGAACAAAATAATGTACTATGCCTGTGTACAGCTGGGTATAGTTGAAGGCTGCACAAGCTTTGATCTGGATCATATGACCAGGAGGAAGAAAGGTGGGGTTAGAATGGAGCAATCATTTTTCCCTGGGTTTTTTTTTCTCCATATCTCCTTGCTGGATTTGACTCGTTTTTAAACCCATGCTTTTTTTTTACCCCTCCTGATTTCTTTCTCTTTGGCAGAAACATCCAGAGTCACAGTGATCTTGTTGACGAGCAGACAAAGGGTTGAGCCCTTTTATGTGATTTATTTCTGATGTTTCATTTAATTAGAAAGAATAAACATTTAAAATGTCTTAATAACTATCAAAATCTTCCTACAAAGAAAGATCAAACTTCATCACATCCCAAATGCCAAATGCTGGCATGTACTTGTCAGGTTTAGTCCAAGAACGACATAACACAATCCAGTTAAAATTCAATTCGTTACTTGTTTATATCACGTAGACAGAATCTTTCCAGACTAAACCTATATACTACTCTAACCTAACAACTATACCCTGGCAGTTTCTAGAGAGTGGCTGTCCCAAATCTCTTTCTCTTCTCACAATCCAACTGTGGACTGTGCTGTCACTTGTCTCACCCACCCACCCTCCCATGGAATGTGCTCCCATCATCCCTGGGAAATTGCTGCTTCACTGTAGTCCATCACATCGCCTTGCCCATCACAATACTTAGGGTTCTTCTCCTAATTATAGCAGTATGCTATTCTAGTGGGGTTCCAAATCTGAGATTCTCCATCAGGTGCAAGATAGAAATACACTGAAGTGGTTTTTTTTTTAAAAAAATAGCTTTTTTAATAGCATTACTATAACTTGGGTTACTGGCAATGCCATTACTTCCAACTGTAAGTTTCCAATTACAGTGTCATTTGATAGTAAGGAACTTATTTCACTTCACTCTCAGAATTGCACCTTCATCTGATGCAATAGGATCAGAATATCAAATTAACTAATCTAAACCCGTTTTCCTTGATCTGCTATCCTCCAAATGTGTTGGATTTGTAACTCCAAGAATTGCCAAGCCAGCCTAGCCTTTGGAGGGATCTAAAATCTACTAATACACTAATAGGGACATATCCAATGCTGGAAATTTTCTGCATCTTTTAATGGATTTTTTAAATTGTTGAATCATTTTAAAATTCAAGCTTCAAGATTTCTCTTATCCAATTCTTGCTAGTAGAGTGATATGGAAAGTTTGGCTTTGAAAAAATTAACACAAGGGGATGAAAATTATTATTATGTCTAGTCTCTTATATGTTGTATTAACATTAATTGATGTAAACTATAAATTATGGCAACTCCCAGCTCTCATGCAGCCTTGAGACAACTCAGCAGTACTTCATGATAAATATCAAATTAATCTCTGAAGTACAGTAAGAAAGTATTATTTGACATTAATGATGAGGAATGTACTTCTCAGGTAAATACGTTCTTCTTTACTCTGATCCCCTAAGCAATTATCTATTTCCACTTTTCTTATGTTCTTTAAATTTATTTTTATTTATTTTTATCCAGTCTTTATTATTTTTATAAATAATTCAAAGCAGTCAGCATACATGACATTCCTTCTTTCTCCTATTTTTCCAACAACAACCCTGTTAAGCCTTTCCTGAAGGCATTATTGTTAAAACAGCTGTCACTTCTCTACTTAGTTACAAAGCAGTGTGTGGACTGAAAGGGCAGTGATCCTCCACATCAGATTATAAAACCAAAGGCTAATTAAAGTAATAATTGCATATAGTAAATACTTTTACAACATAGTTTATTGAAGAGTATCAGAATACATGGTTTTCCATTCCTCCAAAGAGCCTCCTGTTGAAAAGAATATTCTGTAGTGGTTTAGAACAGGTAGTCCTCGATTTACAACCACAATTGAACCCAAAATTTCTTTTGCTAACGAGACATTAAGTGAATGTTGACCTATTTTACGACCTTTCTTGCCACCGTTGTTAAGTGAATCACTGCAGTTATAAACGTAGTAACACAGTTGTTAAGTGAATCTAGCTTCCCCATTGGCTTTGTTTGTCAGAAAGTTGCAAAAAGTGATCACATGATCTTGAGACACTGCAATCGTCATAAATATGAATCAATTGCCAAGCATCTGAATTTTGATCACCTGGCCATGGGGATGCTGCAACAGTCGTAAGTCTGAAAAATGGTCATAAGTCACTTTATTCAGTGCCGTTGTAACTCTGAACAGCCTAAATAAACTGTTATAAGTCAAGGACTACCTGTGAACAGAGTAGAGAAACCCTTTGGAACGAGCTACCCCCAGAGATCCGGGTGATTCTGGATTTCCCCTCCTTCCGCCGCGCCCTCAAGACATGGCTATTCAAGTTAGCAGGACTGGCCTAAGGGTTATTTTAATTTGGTTTTAAAATAATTTAAAAAAAAAATAATTCGAATTTTCGGTCTTAGAATAATGTTTCATTTTAATTAACATGTTAAGTTTGGCATTTTTGTATTTGTGTATTTGTTTTTGAATGGTTGTAAGCCGCCCTGAGTCCGCAGGGAGAAGGGCGGGGTAGAAATATAATTAATAATAATAATAATAATAATAATTTGGTGTAGTGCAGGGATAGGCAACCTCAGAGTTGAAGTCCATGAGTCATAAAAGAGCCGAGGTTGCCTACTCCTGGTGTAGTGATTAAGGAATCAGGCTAGAAACTAGGGGACCGTGAATTCTGGATGTGCATTAGGAACGAAGGCAACTCGGTCACCTTGGGCCAATCATTTTCTTTCAGCCCTAGGAAGGAAGCAATGGCAAACACTTCTGAAAAACTTTGCCAAGAAAACTTCTTGGATTTGTCCAAGCAATCTCTGAGAATTTGACATAACTGAATGGAAGAAAATAAGCGTATAAACAGTAACCCAACTTTAAAAGCTGCTTCCCTGTCAATTCTGTCATATATCCTACCATTCTACACATAAAGGTTGCCTGTTGCTATCCAATGAATGATTGCCAGCTTCCATGAAAAGAGAAAAATGTGGACATTCTGATATATCCATTTTATCTTACAAGGCACAAATGGATATCTTTGTTTATTTAGCAAATCAAATAGCAAATTACATCACATTCTATATGATGTAAGGGCAAGTCTCTGTCCTCAAAGGGATCTATCCCAGTGTTTCTCAACTTGGCAAGCTGAAGACATCTGAACTTCCAATTCCCAGAATTCTGGGAGTTGAAGTCCAGACATCTTCAACTTTCCAAGCTTGAGAAACACTGAATTCTATCCCATTAGGCTAGTATAACCTTGCTGGCACAAACTGGATATTTCTACTTTTAAATATTTAATTCTGTAAACACTTAGTTTACATCTTACTGTATGTAAGATATCTAAAAAAATGCTCTACTCTGCTTAAAAGAAATTCCAGTACTGCTATAGAGAAAAGATTCAATGAGGGAGATCGGCAGTTAAGAATTTGATAAATAAATATATGCTTATTTGAACTGTTCTTTCCATGGATTACTGTCGTCAGGGATGACTCACACCCTGGTCAGCACTTCTTTACTCTCCTACCATCGGTTAGGAGATATAGAAGCCTAGCCAGCCGCACCAACAGGCTGAAGAACAGTTTCTACTTGTGGGCTGTCAGACTCCTGAATGGGAAATAATTCCATGTATAATAGACTTGCAGGGCCGGCGCGTTGTGCAATAAGTTCACATGGTGCAATAAGACTGTGTGTTTGTTGTCACTGTGAGTTGTGTTGGGGGGCTGCACGAAGGGAGGCTCAGCCAATCTCATTGTACACATGTTGTACTTTGACAATAAAGGTTGATTGATTTGATTTGATACACCTTGAACTGAACCATCACGGTCAATGGCGAGGATTGCTGGATGTTGCAGTTCAGCGGCCTCTGGAGGACCATGCTAACCTTAAATGTTGTTGGGTTTTTTTGCTTTGTTTCCTGTCTATTTGATAACTTTTCTTCCCTTCTTCTTGCTTTAGGGAAGAACTCAGGAAGATGATGGGTAACTCGGAGAGCATGGAATCTACCCAACTCGCCCTTCCAAAGCACATTCTGGACATTTGGGCCATTATCTTAATCATCCTGGGCACCATTGTCATCATGACTTTACTAGTATTGTGCCCAGCAACAACGGTGATTATTTATAGGGTCTGGACACATCCTATGCACCATAATGGTGCTGAGTGAGATTGGGCCTCCGTGTCACTGTTTGGACTCTGCTTTTGAGGAACACAGGCTAAATGCAACAGGAAAAGCAGCCAATTTATCTGGCAGTTTTCAAGATTAGGTTGAGTCCTGAGCAGGCATTGCTAAATTGTCAGCAAGGATATGGTAGCAACACATCTGCTGTCAACATGCGATAAGAATGCTACAGCTCACAAAAAATATCTTCAAGCCTGCTTATCTATTTGGCCGATGTCCACAGAACATTACATCCTGGACTTTATCCCCACTTGTGGAATCAGCTAAACTGCTACAGAATTCCAGATCATTCCAGTTTTGGTTGCTAGTGTGACTCTTCCATGTTTACTTACCAAACTATTCCAAAGGAACGAGGAGATGACAGAAACAAAGTGCTGAAAAGGAGACTTAAGTAAAATTTAAATAGGGGCTGCTTTGCCTAAGCAACTTGATGATCCAAACAATCTTCATTCCACACAAATCAGATGAGATGGAGAGCTTGAGGTCTCAGCTGATATATTTGTGGTCCTTCTTTTCTCCCGGCACCCTCTGTTTCAAGCAGCAGCAGCTAAAGAGTATTAAAAGTGAGAAATGAGAAGTCAGCACATAAGTGACTGGTGGAAATCATATTTGGTATCTAGTGCAGTTGAACAGTACATTCATAATGGGAGGTTTATTTTAAAGAAATTGAATGAACATAATATAGAGAAAGTGAAAGGGGAGCCTAAGATTTTGTAAAAAAAATATTTTACTGTAAGGGATTTGTGTAGGATGCCATGAGAAAAGGAAAATAAAAAACTTTTCATTTGTGAAACTAGATTTTATGATAGGAAGGTCTATCTCAAAAAATATTTTACAGTCATTGTGCTATACAAATAGTATTATGGTGGAGTTTTTTTAATTATTATTTTAGGAGATTGATTCCGGTCATCAAACCTTTTAAAATATGTTCTCTTTTTAGTAATTGGCTTCTTAGAAGGACCACAGTAGCTTCCTCAATTTGATGGTTGGAACAAAATTATTCAGATTTCTTGGGAACAGCCAATCTATACATTTCATTTATCTGGCTGTGCATTTTCAATGACCAGTCAATTTAATGGCCTCCCCCCCACCCATAGTTACTACTGGTATCAGGAATGAGCATATTCGAGTCTCACTTGTTTTCCATTCCTTTGCACAGTAGAGCATGGAGTCTCTCATTCAGATGGGTTGTTAGACCTCTAAGATCTACAGTGAACAGAAACATTTAGCAGAGATTTTGATTCATGTCTTAAAGGAAATATTTTTGTAGGTGAAAAATACTAATAGTGTAGTGTTTAAGAAATGACACAATCAGTATTCATATACATACCAACTGACACCAAATTCATTTCCAGTCAGCATATCATAAGAAAATGGTTATATTAAATTACAGTATTGTACAATGTCATGTAATAAACTGTTATTGGGGCCTGTCTCTGAATTTTGATGTTTGAATATTGGCTTCCTTCTTCCTGTTTGGCCTTCAAATATCTTGCAGTATTCTAGTATTTTGTTGTGTAACTTCATGTCATTCTAGTCCTCCTTTATCTGTTTGGTCAAGCTTCAAAACACTCAAACGAAGGTAAGAAGCAAACTTATCGCCAATTGTCCTTGAAGCAGGAAATATATATATACCGTATGTAAGCCCAAAATGTTTGTTAAATGCCAAGGGAAAACAGATGCTGCTAGGGAGAAATTCACCAGTAATTGGTGGACACTTGAGATTAGAATCTTGCAAGGGTATAAGAGTTTAGGTTTAGTTGGAAAGGAAGAAACAAGCATACGACAATATTAGATAGAGCAGGAGTTCTCAACCTTGGCAACTTTAAGACTTGTGGACTTCAACTTTTCTGGCTGAGGAATTCTGGGAGTTGAAGTCCACAAGTCTTAAAGTTGCCAAGGTCGAGAACCCCTGAGATAGAGGCTAGAATTACAGAAAATACAAAACTTGACATCTGAGTCTTTGAAACTCTGAGATCATGTTTGTTTTGTACAGGATGAGGTTTTGATTCCATAGCTGCTTGACGCTGTCTTAGGGTCAATTTGTAGCATTTTCTCATATAGTCGAGAGGTTAGATGTGGTATGAGCTGCGGAAATGGATAGAAGCCCTCAATGGTGAGATGAGTCGGCCTTTAGCCTAAGAGGAAGAGTTAGAAGATGTTTTATTTACTACATCCTGTTTCCTGCACAGTGAAGCCTAGGTGCGGAGTATAATTCAGAGGAATTAAATATATATTTAATACAAAAGCTAGCTTAACTGTATTGCATGCACAACTGGTTTGCTCTCAAAATGGAGGAATGAACTTTTCTTATTCTGCTATATAATGATGGGCTCTGATTTCCAAAATGAAATGGTAACATACTGGGCAAAAACAGATTGTGTTATGATTTGTGTCTCACACACTGCCTACCAACTGTGCACCTGAGGGCTAGAGGCCTGGCTATACTAAAAAAAGGTCAACCAAGCATCTCTTTTCCTTTCTCTCTTTTCTCTCCTCTCATAAACCTAAGACGCCTTTAATCTAGTCTTGGTGATTTTGAAGGACTGTTCATTTTGTGAATTTAAAGGAAGAGGAGCAGAGACGCACCAGTTACGGTGAGGATCTTAAAAAGAGCCACTGAAGCATGTCAGCAATTGAAGGGCATTTAATTATAAGTAAAAATATAATAATACAATAAATGAGAAACCAAGAAAACATATCTAAGACTACACTATTCCCACCGAGTAATTGGAAATAAGATAGATTTGAGAAGATTTCTGGGATGGTCTTACCAGTTTCTTCCTTTTCCCCTCACAACACACTTAGTGGCAAGGGCCCTGTTTGGAGGGGGTAAAAATTTAATTGATAAGCTTCATGCTAAGAATCACATTAAACAATAAGGACATTGAAATCAGTACAGGAGCATAACAGTTATGTCTCTGATATTGTTAGAAGTTGTGCTTCCATTTATTTATTCTTGCCTTTCTGTAAATCACCACTGTATTCAGGTTTTTCCTGTAGGATTTTTTTTTTTAAAGGAAAGAAAAATTGTTGAAGATCAGACCCATGCTTAAAACAAGAGTCACGATTTCAGAAAATAATACACAAGATACCTCATATCTTGTACTACATTTGATATTAGCTACCTTTTCTCACCACATGTATGCTGCCATGGAACCCTCACAGTTTTTATTCATCTTTGTCTCCATTTTGAGCAATTCTCAGACAGCAGCCACCCATTTCTTTATGCTCCCCAACGTTGGCAGTTAAGCTGTTCAGATCCTTGGACACCAATGGGTACAGCTCTTTCTCCAATGGCTTATGAGCAAACACAACCCAGCAGTAAGGACCAGAGTTGTCATCCCTCAAATACAGGTAGTCCTCGACTTTTAACCACAATTGAGCCCAAAATGTCTGTTGCTAAGCGAGACATTTGTTAAGTGAATTTTACCACATTTTACGACCTTTCTTGCCACTGTTGTTAAATGAATCACTGCAGTTGTTAAGTTAGCATGGTTGTTAAGTTGAGCAGGCTTCCCCATTGATTTTGCTATCAGAAGATCACAAAGGGAGAGACCACGTGACCTCAGGACACTGCAACTGTCACAAATATGAACCAGTTCCCAAGCATCTGAATTTTGATTGTGTGACCATGGGGGTGCTGCAACAGTTGTAAGTGTGAAAAACAGTCATAAAGCACAGCATTTCAGTGCTGTTGTAACTTTGAACAGTCACTAAATGAACTGTGTTGTAAGTTGAAGATTATCTGTAGTCTACATATGGCCTTTCAGCTTCCCCCTTATCTCACTTTCTCTCTTCATACCTCCACCATCAATGCCATTGTGACACATCTGTTCTCAGCTGCTCTTCCACTTCCTTTCCCCCCTTTCCTTTAGAAAAGAATGTGCTTTATTTTAGTAAGATAAAATAACCAAATCTTAAAGACTTCACTAAGCTTCTGTGGATCCCATCTTATATTAAAAACAGAATTTGTTTTGTTTTCAAAACCACAAGTTTTTAGTTTCTTTCAGGACAGTGTAATCTTTTCTGCAAGTCTTCCTTTAATGACTCACAGAATCCTTCTCTATTCCCAAAGTTAATTCTACATTTATTTACAGCCAGACAACAATTCATATCCATATTCATATCCTCGCCACTTCTCCCTAACAGCTATCCTCCAGAATCAAAATTCAATAATTGAACTAACATTGGACTAACTAACCATATATAATCTTGGGCGCGCAACTTGGGAGTCCTCCTGGATTCACGGCTGACTTTAGATGACCATCTGTCGGCCGTGACCAGGGGGGCGTTTTATCAGGTTCGCCTGATTCACCAGTTGCGGCCTTTTCTGGATCGGGACGCCTTACACACAGTCACTCATGCTCTTGTCACCTCCCGCCTGGACTACTGTAACGCTCTCTACATGGGGCTCCCTTTGAGGAGCACCAGGAGGCTTCAAATGGTCCAGAATGCGGCCGCGCGGGCGGTGTTGGGAGGGACTCGTCGCTCCCATGTGACACCGCTGCTGCGCGAGCTGCACTGGTTGCCAGTGGCCTTCCGGGTGCGCTTTAAGGTGTTAGTTACCACCTTTAAAGCGCTTCATGGCATAGGACCCGGTTACCTCCGAGACCGCCTTCTGCCGCAGATNGGCTCTTTCAGCAAGCGGACCTGACCTAGGGTGGATTTTATACTGGGTTTTTTAGGAATTTGGAAGACACAACTTTAAATTTGGTTTAATTCGGTTTTAAGGGGGGGATTGTATATATGTTTTGGTTTTAAGTATGTTGTGCGCCGCCCTGAGTCCCGCCGGGAGAAGGGCGGCATATAAATTAAATTAAATAAATAAAATAAATAAATAAATTGGGTGCCATCTGGAAAAAGTGCTGCGTTCAAAACACAATAGTAAGATAAATAGCAAAGGTGAACTGACCAAAATATATCATTTTACAGACACATTTGGTCATCTTTTCTCTAAAATTAATCTCAAGTGAGGAGAGATCTAAAATTCAGTATCTCAACTGGTATACAGCCAAACCATCTGGAACTCTAAGCAGTTGACAATGTTTATACACTCAAAAATAGCTATAATGCATATGTGATCATGCAAATCTTTTTGTATTATTCCAGTTTTAGTATACTGCCAATGGAGCTATGGAGAGATTTGAAGATGGAATGTCCTGGTTCACAGCTCAGATATATTATCAGTTAAATCATGAACTCTACATTTTTATGAAAAAGTCAAGGGCTGTTTGAGTCTCTAGTCTAAAGTATCATTAGGAAGTACGCTAAGGATAAATCCAATTAAGATTATGTGATACGCATGGTCTCATATTAGTTTTAATTATGAGGAAACATTTTTTTTTCCATGGAATTAATAAGAAACTCAATTAGGATAAAAAATGCTGCATAATGACCGGTTTCAATCACAGAGGAGCAGGGTTAGATCAAGGAGACAATTACAGAAAATGAAATACAATACTCAGAAAAATAATGTGCTTTACCCCAAATAGTTTTATACCCAAATCTGTTCAATTTCTTCCCCAGAATTGTATTTGTCTTTTCTCTGCAGGCATACCACTGTGAAAAGAACTGCTAGCGTCTCTGAGGAGTGCACAAACTGTTTTGCTAGAGACTATTCATCCTTGAAAAACCTCTAAAACAAAACATGTCCTTCTGTATTTACTAATAAATTGCCTTAATCTGATTCAGGCCAAACCAGACTAGAAATTTTAAAAAAACAAAAAACATTTTTTAGGAGGAAGAATTCTTTTTTTTTTTTTTACAGAAGCCATATTCCATTTTGTTTTGCTTTTTATTTTATTTTTCCTCAAGGACATATGAAATATTTAATTTGCTGACACAAAATTTGTTTTATGTTCCAGCAATGCTTTATGGAACATATGGAATGCTTTCTATAATGAATCTTAATGCAAAAATGGCCTCAAAATCTAGTGACCATCTTTAAGAAAAGGGATGAAAAAGATCAATTTTATGGAGAATCAGAAGCAATTAGATTACAATTCATCAAATATTTTAGCACCATTTCCTCTGGATTACATAGAGATTGGGGGGGAACAGCCTGTACTATCCCTATACTAATGCAAAAATGTCTATAGAATATATAACTACTACTTTTTTATCCATAACTACTCCTTTATTATTGGTTGTGATCTGTAGGTAATTCTGTCCCTTATCTTCTGGCATCAGCCAACTACACAAAAGGGGCAGATTTTTTGTCATGATGGTGTGATACTGCCTTCATCATTTTGATCCTCTGCTGCAAAAGTTTATATGACAATATATTTTTGTATGCAAAGTGTCACATTCTGAATTGGAAAGGTGGTGATTGCAATTGGATCTGAGCTATTCTCAAACACTGAGCATGTAGCTTCTTCAGTTCCCAGCAAAAATGTAGTTAAAGTAATAAAGTTAGATAAATATCTGTAAAAATTAGGC